GAGTTAAGAGAAACAAAGGTTTGCTATTCTAAATAAAGCCTTATAACACTTTCGAATGGAAAAAGGTCCATCCTAGCAAATATTCCACTCGAGCATTAAGGCCATCGAATAATTTTAATTGAATTAAGCACACAACTCGCATCACCTTCGTTGAGCAATTTACATTCTGAAAAATATCAAAAGCACAAACTGAAAACAAAAAGTGAGAATTTTTGAAACAAAAAAAAAGAAAAAAATTGTGTACACGTACTCATGTTTTCTAGCAAGTATCTGCAACACAAACAAAGCCCCATAAACCTGCTGTTCCTGTAGGTTATGCTTCACCCAATCCAGAAGCAGTGGCCACTGCTCCGGATAATCCGCATGGATAATGGTCTTGAGACACTCACCCAATTGCACCCTGCAATAAAACCGATATGATGCAGAAAGCAACAAATGCATGTAAACTACACACCCTACCATGTAACCAGTAAATAATTCTATACGAACAAGCAAGAGGGACAACAAGCAATATTACCTCAACAAAGGAGGAACTTGAGATACAAATACAAGAATATGATCACGAACCACATCTTTATCACTTTGCAGAATTTTCTGTGGCTCATCTACATTCATTAAAGAGAACAAAGTTCATATTCATGAATACAAACATAAACATAAGCCTAAAATGTGCAATATATATATATATATATATATATATATATGATTGATTGAGTTTATACTTGGATCAAGAGGAGCCCAATTCTTAGCAATGAAATTCTTAAACTGAATAGAAGCAACTTGACGAACCGCCATAGGACAATTATTATCAATGACGATCTGTAACAGTCTCACTAGATGCTGAGGCATATACTGAAACTAAAACCAAACAAAATTAAAAAAAATCAATCTTTTGATCTAATAATCAAATCCAATTACTATCAAATAAAAAATCAATAAATAAAATAAACCTTATTGAGGCTTTCTTCAGCAGCTTTGCGTTCAGCGGGATTGGGACTAAGTGCAGCTTGAAGAATCACAACAAGACTTGGAACATCCATTTTTCTCTAATATTAAAAAAACAAAACTAAAAAAAATTTAAACAAAAATCTCTAAATCTTAGTCACTCAAACTCAGTTCAATGAGATGAGAATCTAAGATTCAGAGGATGAGAGTGTAACCTCCAGACCCGGTCTGTAAGTTAGACCCAAATCTAAGTGGTCACATATCCCATTCAGATGTAATTTTTTAAACAACTTATAATACATTAGATATAATACAAAACAAAATATTAATAATACAAATATATCCAAAACGATAGCAAATACATGTCACCAGATACAACGGAAAGCATGTAAAGATATATGTTCGTACAAAATAAGTAGTTGATCTCCCCTGATGCCAAATCTGCTAGCTTACGGTCTGCTGTTATCTGAAAAGGGTAAAAACTATAGAATGAGCTAAAAAGCCCAGTGTGCTTCAAACAGTGTATAAAAATATTTTAATAAAATATTTCAGTAAAATCATTTCATTAAACATGTTTCTTTTATTTAAAATATGAACACTACCCCATCCGTCACGAACAAAATGTGTAGGTTCCCCAGAACCATACACCCCGTCACGTCCAGTAAAGCCCTGAGTACAAAGTCGAGGAGTCTGCAAGTATTCTTCCTCCAACAATTCCCCCCCCAATGTCAGTAATAAACAAGTATGTATTCAAGTAAAATTGGTGAATAATTCATGTTTTAAAAAAAACCATATACCGAAATACAGAAATCAGATATCAGGAAATCAATATTCAGGAATCACGTATCATGTATCATGTCATAACAGTATTATGAATTATCACCAATCTAAAACAATTCAAACAATATTTTTAAAACAGTAAAATAACACTGTCATGAAACACACCTGTAACAGTCTGAGAAATCAAATAGGGAAGCTTATTACTGGTTTTGTCGATCACGCTCTGCTGCGGCGCTAGATCCTACGAATTGAAAAAATCCATATTGGAAACCTAATATAAATAATCTAAATATTATTTAAATAATATACGGAAACCTACGGGTAATTCTCGTAGTACGCGGTTCAGGCTGATCTAACGAACGGACAACACCGGATCTAATTGATCCTTGCTCAGGTGAAACACGAGTACCTTCATAAAATATTTTTATTGAATCAATATCTTAACCAAATCTCAATTAAATAATCAAAATATTAAAATATTAAGCCTTTTGGGTTTACAAGCTCGATTCAGGAATTTCGGGTCAGAATTTGGTAAAACGGACTTCGGAATCAGATTTAGGACGTCGAAAAACATAAAGTATGACTTTCCGAAAATTTGAATTCTTGGTCAAAATCAAAGTCAATGGGTTTGACTGACGATTCGAAGACTTTCGGGTTTGAATTTTGTGAAACCGACCCCAAAAACGGATTCGGGACGTCGAAAAATGTCAAGATATGTATTCTCGGAAAAGATTAACGGTTGTTTAATGACCGGTCAAAGCCGGTCAACAAAATATCAACCATAGCCTTTTTTTTTTAATAATTACTAAAATATCACCTTTTTCAAATTAAATTCTTAAAATAGCACATTTTCAAATTAAATTCCCAATATAGCACTTTTTGAATTAAATTCCCAAAATAGCACCCATTTCGAATTAATTCCCAAAATAGCACCCATTTCGAATTTATTCCTAAAATATCACCCGATCAACGGTCAACGGTCCACGGTCAACGGGTCAGGTCGGGTCAACGGATCGGGTCGGTCAATGGGTCGAGTCGGAACCGGTTAAAAATCGGTTAAACCGGTCATTTCAACCTTCCCCACGCGCAGTGGCGACGCGTGAGGTTTCTTCTGGCTGCGTAAAATTCACAGAAAAATTTCTAAAAATTATTTTGAGCGATTTCAAGATACTTACAAAGATTGGTTCAAATTTTTGAACGGCGGAGAGCTCGATTTCATCAAATTGGAAACTTTGACCGCTTCACCTCCCCACGCGCCGCCATCGACGGAGACCGAGGATAGCACCGGCGGACTCGGAACGACACAAGGAACACGATGGTGCGAGAGGTGTCGTAAACATAGCAACGATCGGCGATGAATTTAAGATTCTCTCGGCGATTGAGCTAAAAAAAATCGAGACTTTGACTAGAAATTCCCGGCGTTTGGCAGCGTTTCACTTCAATTAATTTAAGGGAATTGTTCCTCACTCGATAACGAACACGATGGTGTTTTCAAAAAAACGATCGGAAGTCGAACGGCGTCAGAATCGAGGTTGGAAGTTGGGCGTATGGGAGGAGATTTTATGAATTGGTTTCTGTGTTTTCACGCAGAAACCAAATCATTTCCTTTAAAGAGAAAGCCTGTCGACACTTTTTGGGTTAATTCAGGGTTTGGTTCCTGAATTTTCTTCAACTCTAAAATATGTTACAAATTTAAAAAACTTTCAATTTAATCCTCAAATTTTCACCAATTTACACAATCAAATTAAAAAAAATTCCAATTTTTCGAATTGTTACATAGAGTGAATTTGAATAAAAAGAAAATGGGTGATGTTTTACTGGGGAAGACAACTGCAAACTTAGAGTGGAGGAGTGGTATTTAAATACTAGGGTTTTAGCTATCAAAATATAATAATATTTTCTTTTTTTAAAAAAAAACCCATTAATTCAGTACTACACGTGTGGTCGAATGTTCTGTTTTCTATACCTTAACCTTTCAAATCGGTGTCGTTGTTCGTGTTTGACTCGTGAGTAACATGGTCGCACGTGTGTCTCCGTATTAGCAAAGGTTTTTCTTATTTATTAAATATAATATAAAAATAATTTAATTTTTTATAGAAAAAATTATCTCTATAAAAAAATTAAATTTTAAATCGATTCATATAAAAATATAATCTGTCAAAAAATGGATAAATAAAATATATTTTTTAAAGCTATAATCTTTTTTATATTTTACTTCAAATAAAATATATAATTAGATTATGAGTATGATAAATATAATTAAGAGATAATATAATTAAAATAAGCATAAATTATATGTTTAGTATCCTAACTATCACTTTTGTTTCATTTTGGTGACTTAATTATATTTTTTTTACAAAATTATATCCGGCGTTGAAAATTAACAAGTGACTAGAATGAACTAAATCTAATTGTTAAGTATGGTTTCAAAAAAAATAGTTAGATGACCAAACCAGAATAGAAGTAATAGTTCATATACTAAACATGTAGTTTACCCTTAAAATAAATAAAATTAGAATAAAATAATATTGAAAACATTCTTCATTTAGATATTTATCTCCTTAATTTTTTTCAAACTTTTCCATTAAAAATATTTAACAAATAATTTTAATTTTAACTTATCGAACATGTTTAAAATATTAAGTTATTAATTTTTTACATTTTCAACGAGTTATCCGACATAACCTAAATATTTCTAATAATAAAATAATGATCGATAATATTTTCTAATGTGATGAAATACTAGACGATTGTAAATGAAACTCAAGGTCGAAGCATGAAACTAGGATATATTTGGTTTTAAAAAATATTTTTATTTTTTTATTTGCTGAAGATAATTTTTTTTTCTTCTTTCCAATAATTAAAAAAATATGTTTGGATAACAAAATATCAGAAATAAAAATAATGAAAATGTGCTTATCAAATTTTTGAAATAAAAATGAATAAATCATTATTAAATAACTAAATTAAAACATTAATCAACAAAAAATTAATTATAACAATAAATAATTAAACTAAAACATAATTATCAGAAAAATTGAACTCAAACTTGAGCATAAATAATCAAACCTGAAGTTGAACATGAATTCGAGTTTACTTTTCAATAAGCAAACAAAGTTAATTGAATAACCGTGAGTGGTTGGATCTATATTCCGACTCAAAGTTGAGCTCGACTCGATTACACCCTCTAACTCAATTGTAACCTTATTTTCACCCAAAAAATCAAAGAATAAAATATAAAATATGTATAACTTGCATAGCAAGCTAAGCTATGCCATTGATCGGAATATGCAATAATTGAACAATAGTTAATGTGCTACAATTGCTTTATCCCAGTTTGTTGTCCTATGTATACACATACATGTACAAGTTATGTATGCTATTGCTATGCTATCATTTACTTTTTAAATGGAATTCTATTCTATCATGTTAATCATTCAACAAACCATATTGAGATGAACAACTCGATTTCGATTTTATATTTAATTCCTTTTTATCTTAAATTCATTGTTAGTCGTCTACGGTTTTACTAGCAGCTCGAAAAGAAGTGCAGTAGCGTAGCTAGCATGATCAAAATCATAATAAACCTGGCCTTTGAATGGCAAGCAGAAGAAATATAGTGGGAACCTACTAGATGCACCGTTCCGGTCCTTTCGTCCAGCACTTGTATGCTTGAAGAGCCTGAAAACAAACGTAAAAACCACGTCACAAAACGGGAACACAAAGAACCCTAGATCTCTCTCGAGATCAAGTAGTTCTTTCTAGCTAGAATTGATACTTTCATAGTTGACAACCATCAAAAACATTACTTATAATAGTTATTTTCAACCGAAAGTTGAAATAGAAGTAAATTCAGAAAATTCATTTTCTAAACGATGAACAAGTTACATGTAGGCACTATGTGATAAAGAATATAAGAAACTCACTTCAAGGCAACTAATCTGGTCAAGAATATAAATGGAAAATAATGGTATATGCTTAAAGAAAAGGGACACTAACTATAGAAAACTAGTAATACTCAAGAATCGAACACAATCAAGTAAGAAAAGGAAAGCAGAAACATATCTTATAAAACAAACAAAATATTAACATTAGCTCGAGACTTACGCCTATTTAGCACAAAACTATTAACCAAACAAGAAAAGAAAAGTAACTGGATACTCACAATTGTACTCGGTCCATCCAATGGCCTGATTTTCCAAATCATACACAACGAGCTTGTTTGAAAGCACCAAATCTGTAAGAAACACAACAACGTTGAGAGGAAGATTATACCTTACACCCATCTCAGCAAATTCGGGTTGCAACTTAAGATTTAATACCTAAATCGACATTATCATGCAGAACGTGCTCTATAGCAACGAAGTCCTCAATTTTGTTTTGGCAAGTTACCAATCAGAACACCAAGCATTATATCAAATTATCCGCCAATATAACACAAAATAAGTCATTATAAGGAGAAGTATTTAAAAAACTCCAGAAATGTTTAATACGAATGCAAATAAACAAATCTAAGTTTGAATATACTCATCGCATTACGATAAATCATGTGGGCTATTGCGCAGCAATAATGTTTTCCGAAAACAGGTTAGAGAATTAAACAGGAGAGGAATGGTAAATGAAAACGTATAACAATTGTACTTGGAAGCATAAGTCTTCAGTTACAAAGTCACTAAAAGTATGGTTAGAAGGCATACCACCCAAGAGGGTCATATTCTTCCTATCCCTAGATTGCAATCCACTGTTTTGCCATCCAATGCACCACAATCCACTCTGCACAAAAACTCTCTCATAAATATCAATTTATGCAAACTCTACATGTTTATAACACTGGAAGAACCTATAACTTAAGACGGTTTAGATTTAATCACATGTCATAAACAATCATAGTTCTGCATCTACACAAACATCACAGTTCTCAAAATTAAACCTATTTAAAATTCATTGAACCTAATCTAATATTTACATGCTGAGCCAAAGACAAGGCAAATGTGACGCAAGGGGCCCTTAAATAATAGCAAAAACAATGATGAACAACTTAAGTTCCCTAAATTAAAACTATACCAAGTAAGAGCAAAGGCAAGTTTTATTTAAAGACTTTTTCACACAAGCATAAAGCATAGACCACACCGAACCGCATTGAGATACAAATTTTTACTTCAAAAGAATATACAGAGATGGGAACCATTAATTTTTTTTTTGATAGGAATGGAAGGCCTCGTTAAAAACCCCCTTCTTGATTAAAGGAACTTAGTGGTAAGCTCCTTAATCAGCGGAAGGAGGAAAAGAGTGCCTTAAAAACTTTATTGATAATATAATCTTACATAAGATTTAAACACTACACCACAATACATCCCATAAAACTTAACAACAATTTTCTAATAAACCTTCTCGCTGGACCAGAAAATCCAGTGACAGGTCCTTACAGTCAACCTATCCCTTTCTTAGCTAAGCTATCAGCCTCCCCATTACTCGCTCTTGGAATCCACCTCACTGAATGAACCTTGCCATTTGAAAGAGTCAAAATCTGATTAACCAAAGACAAGTAGAAAACAGGAGCCAAAGCCGGTGATTTAATCCATTCCACTACCGACTTGCAATCACTCTCAACAATCAATCTCCCAACAGAAACCCAAACTGAAGCCAGAAAAATTTCAATACCCCTTTTAATAGCCTTTAATTCAGCTAGCGGAGGAGTAACTTGGTCTACTTTCTCTGAAAAAGTCAAAAGCGTGCAACACTCCGAATCTCTCAATATACCTCCTATACCTCCACCCGAGCCTCCAAGCCTAACAGCTCCATCAACGTTCATCTTAAGAAAATCAACAGGGGGGGAATCCAACGCAGATTATGACCAACTTTAACTAAAGTTAGAGAAAACCCATCTGCTAGAGATGGATTACCAATCAGCAAATCCTCCTGAATATTAACCGTAGGAAACTTGGCTAAAAACCATTTTGATAGCCTGAATCTAACTGTAAAGAACAGAGACATGCTGTCCAGGTTAGAACCTTCGAACACTATAGCATTCCTGGCTTTCCAGATTGACCAGAAGATAACACCTGGAATAAACTTCCATATCGTCGAGTTTCCCCTCAACTCACCCCAGGAACTAAGCAAAGCAGGAGGGTCTTGAGGAAGAACAAACGAAATATCCCAGAAGCTAGCTATTTTATTCCACAAATTCCAAGCAACAATACAGGAAATAAATAAGTGTTGAATTGTTTCCTCCTGAATCTTGCAGAAAGGACACTGTATATCTTCCCCTAAAGAAACTCCTCTCTTAACCAACTCAGCCTTAACTGCCAATTTCTGATGTGCAAGTTGCCATAGAAAAGCTTCCACTCTCGGTGGAGCCAAACCCTTCCAAACTCCTTGTAGCCACACATCATTACTCCCTACCTCCGAGCCAATGTTTTTCCTGCATGATTTAACCGAAAACAGTCCATCTCCACTAGCAGACCAAGAAAGAGAGTCCTCCACCAGCTCTGACAGTTTGACATCCTTTATTTTTGTCATCAAAGCTAACCACTGGTCCAATTCCCAATCACTCAGATTCCTTCTAGTTTGGACATTCCACTCCCAACCACTCGGTCCATAGCTGCCAAACTCAACAATCTCCCCCCCTTTATTAATGGAAAGCACATAGATTCTAGGAAAAATTATTTTTAGAGGGACCTCATCAGCCCAAACATCATTCCAAAAAGAAATTGATTTCCCATTACCTACTTGCAGCTTCGAATTCAATCTAAGAAAGTTCCCTACCGAATCATTCTTAGAAAAATTATTAGCAATGCCTCTCAAGATCCATGAAGATTTCGGAGAAGTAACCTTTCCAATAGACATAGTGTTCCAACAAATCTTTTGCTTACTACACAACACAGATTTCCGGAGAGAGTTTTTGTCATTGGCAAATTTACACACCCACTTGCCTAGTAAAGCCCGGTTAGTAAGATTCAAATCAAGGACACCTAGTCCACCACAGTTCAAAGGCCTGCAAACCGTGTTCCAATTTACCCAGTGAATCCTCCGCTTATCCCCCTTCTCACCCCAAAGAAAGTTAGCCATTAAGGAATTAAGCTTCTTTCCGATATTGCACGGCATTTTGAAAAGAGATAGAAAGAAAATCGGCAAAGAGGTTAGCACCGACTTCAACAGAACTGTCCTCCCAGCCAAAGACAAACAGGACGCTTTCCACCACGCAAGTTTGGAACTAAAATTCTTAAAGACCGGATCCCATAGAGCCTCTGTGTTTTTCCTAGCTCCCAAGGGAAGTCCCAAGTATTCTGTAGGTAGAAAACCAACTGAACAGCCCACTTGTTCTGCCCAATCTGATAACACTCCCTCTTCCAAATTGATACCGAACAGCTTACTCTTTGCTAAATTGAGGTGTAAACCTGTCATAATGCTAAAGATCCTCATCACCCTTTTTACATTCTTGATCTGATTAATAGAGGCTTGACAAAAAATTATTAAATCATCGGCGAATTGTAGATGGGACAGCCTGGTAGAATTTCCAGAATTCCCCATAATAATACCCTGGAATAAACCCCTCTCGATTGCTTTAGAAAGCATCAAGTGTAGCATCTCGCCTATAATGTTGAACAAAAGTGGAGAAAGACTGCAGCCTTGTCTAAGACCTTTTTCCATTGCAAACTCCTCAGAAGGTGACCCGTTAACAAGAATCGAAATAGAAGCTGTAGACAGACATTGAGTAATCCACGATGACCATCTGTTTCCAAATCCCATTTCTTTCATTGCTCTAAACAAAATAGGCCATTCCACAGTGTCGTATGCTCTTCGGAAGTCAACTTTAAAAACTACCCCTTGTAGTCCTTGTTTTCTCCAGAAATCAATACCTTCGTTCGCAATGAAGGCGCAATCCAATAACTGTCTCCCCGGAATAAAAGCAAATTGGGATTGACTTATTATGTCGCCAACACAGCCACTCAACCTTTTAGATAATACTTTTGAGAGAATCTTGTATAAACTACCTACAAGGCTGATTGGTCTAAAATCCTCCACACTTTCCGGATTAGTCTTCTTCGGAATGAGTGTAATAAACGCGTGATTAACTCCGTGTTCCCATTTTCTACCTATGTAAAAATCCTGGAAAAACTTCAATACATGTTCCTTTAAACCCGGCCAACATTTCTTGAAGAAGCCCATGGTAAAGCCATCCGGTCCTGGTGCTTTAGAACTATCCGAAGAAGCTATCGCTTGCCATATTTCTTGTTCCGTGAACTGCTCCTCAAGTTTTAAAGATTGGAACCCTGATAGCATAGCAAACTCTAGGGATAAATCCTCTACACCCAGCGTTGACATAGAACTATAGGATTCCTTAAAAAAGGCCGCAATATGCAACTTAATAGATTGCGGATCTGCAACTTCAGAACCATTGATCTTCAAACTAGTAATTTCATTTCTCCTACTCCTGTTTAGGGCAGTTAAATGAAAAAATCTAGTGTTTCTATCCCCATCTTTAATCCATTTCGCCCTTGATTTCTGGAACCAGATGCTTTCTTCGATCCTATACAACCTCCATAGATCCGATCTGAACTGTAGCAGATGCCCCCAGTCCTGTTGGCAGAGGTCCCCAGCTTGAGCTTTAAATTCAAGATTATTTATCTTCAATTCCAGATCTGCTATGGACTCAGAAATTCCATTGAACTTTCTGCCCGACCAACTTCTGATCGATTTTTTAGTTTCTTGAAGAATGCTGAAAATGCCCCTACTCCTTCTACTCCCCCTCGAAACATCCAAGGATGATTTAACTATATCCTCAAACCCTTTTTCCTCTAGAAGATAGTTAAAAAATCTGAATGGTTTGGGGCCCCAATCAACAGTTTTTTCCTCCAAACAAACGGGATTATGATCAGATAAAGACCTCGGTAACATGCTTTGCAGAACATTAGGAAAACTTATCAGAAAATCCCCAGAAATTAGGAACCTATCCAATCTGACCCAAGTAGAGGCTTCTCTATTATTACACCAAGTGAACCTTCCCCCAACCATAGGTAGATCGATTAAATTAGTATGATTCAGGAAATTTCTTAGAATAGCTATAGAAAACCAATTCTGGGACATTCCTATCTTCTCTGTCGGATCAAAATACACATTAAAATCACCCCCAATGCAAACTGATACTGTTTGAGCAGTGACAAAATTCAGCAATTCCCTGAAAAAATCCTCCTTTTCAGCATCAATACTTGGACCATATACATTAATAATCACACATTTATCACATGAATTCTTAAAACTTCCAAAGACAGCTATGAATCTGCTGCTTAAATGTCTATTTGTAACTTCAAAATCCTTATCATTCCACAACACCATTAATCCTCCTGCAGACCCCACAGCTGGAATGACAATCCAACTATTAAGAATACTTCCACCTATCCTTCCCCTAATAGCCTGAGAACATTTTTCCAGCTTTGTTTCTTGAATGAGAAGAATGCCTGGTTTATAATTCCTGACCATAGTAGCTACGGCTCTAGATTTTTCCTTTTTTCGGATACCCCTTATGTTCCAAGAAATAATCTTCATCTTTACCATGTATATATCTATGGAAACAAAACCTCAAAGCAAAGCAGCCGAGAGATCCCTACTCCCCCGGAACCACCCCTTCCCCACGATCAGCCAAACCTTTCTCCATATTAATTATTTTATCCAAAAAGGCCTTCTTCCCCTCTTTGAATGAGATCCCAAGCAATTTACTGACTTCCCATGTAGCCAGCGCTTCTTCTAAAAATAAGGAAAAATTTGGAGAATAAACAGTAGGGATACTAGCCACGTCCAGTGCTTCCCTAATTAGTATCCTTTTCTTTCTTCTAATACCAATCCTTGCTTCTGATCCAGGCTTATTCCCTTTAACACCCTCACCATCTCCCCGGGGAAGCTGTGACCGAACTACATCCGAATTCTGACTAGAACCATCTTCATCCTGAGTCCCAATCGGGCTTCTCCCCGATATATTAGTAATAGGTAAAATACTCGAGGTAGGAATATTTCTAGACCTATTATGATCAGACACCTCCAGTGGAAACATTGACCCATTTTCTCTGCATGGATTAAACCACACCTTTCTTTCTCTGGATCTTCTATACACTCTGGAGACAGGCCCTCTCTTCCACCCTCCCAAATGCAGACTCCTAGACAGGTGATTGAAAGGACTCCAGCTACTAAGGCCAATAGTATGAGGCTCCTTATAACATCCACTCCCTTGATTCCTGCCCATGTGAATCGACTTTTCTTCCCTAACCTCCTCTATACCTTCCTCACTACTAGCTTCTTTGTTCAGGAATGTTCCTCCATCAATCAAAACCTCATTGGACTTGTTAGGATCTTCTCTATGTACTGGTTGTATCCTAACGACGACCCCACCAGGAATTGGATTTGGGAATAGATAAGAAGGATCATTAGCCGTTTTTTGCACATTTGATTTATCCGAACCAGTTTGCTGCGGCTCCACCAAAGTTTCCAACCGGGATTCATTCCCCTTACCAAACCCCAAATTGGTTAGATTAACCCCAGGCCCAATAAAAGAAAATGGGTTGTCCTCACTCGAGTCAACAGATTGGGCTGCCACACTTTCAACTATAAAATCATCTCTTAAACCAAGACCTCGATAATCCCCTTTTAAATTCAAAATCCCATCTGGTAATTCTGACATCATAGCACCACTAGTTTAACCTTGTAGTTCCTGCGACAATAAATGCTCTTCCCCTTTGCCGCCTACCATAGATGTACAGTTTTCCCCTACCAACCATCTTAAATTTTGTAGTTAAATATACTTACATAGGGGAACAGGTACTCATGTGGATTCACCTTCAGAGTAACTGAATTTGCAAAATGGAAAGTGACATTTGGAAATGCCTCATCAAGACTGCAAGAAAATAAATATATGCAAATTATATTGTGGCTTGGCAAAGTATGGATTAATATCAAAATAGGTGTGGCATATAAAACTTAATATAGCAATCATCTATCAAGTTAATCTAGCCAATGGGAGCAGAGAACTATTGGGACAAAAGACTGCATTCAGAACAATTGGGGAGAAAAAAAGAATCAAGAACTACACTAGTATCACCAAGAACTATATAGCTACAATGAAAAATTAAATGATTAGACATTGAGGCATGTACTAAAGGGATACAATTTCCTTGATCAAGAAAATATATTAGAGGCACCTGAAAAGCAGGTACAATGCTAGCGCAATTGAACCAAAAACAAACAAATATTAAAGAATAAAACTTAATTCTTAACTGAAACACGAGGAAAAAGAGAATGCAAAGGATAAAAATATGATAAAAAGTCGTCCCAAAAAAAGATTGAGATGCCACATAAAATTTAGTTAAATAAAGAAAATTTAAGATATAAAAAATGAAAAATATTCAAACTTAAGCATGATAAATATTTTCAAAGAAGCAATCAGAGGGGGATGTGGGTGCTCAAAGGTCACATACACATAATTGCTATTTCCCACGTTTCATACCTCTTGGAGTACTGAAAACATGTATATTCATCTTGAACAGTTTGAAGCTTCAACTGAGGCTGCTGAGAAAGTATCTAACAAGAGATTTGGAAAAATGAAACACTTTAGCAGACTGAAGTGAAACTCACAATAAGGTATAAACCGATTTTATATCACATACCTCATTAACTAACGGTTCATAAACCATTTCCGGGAGATATGCTAAGGTTGTTCCACTGTCTATTATTGTCCCTTTTCGGTCTGCTGAATCGAACATATCTGCCGTAAAATTTAGGAAATCATGACCAACTTGAATTGCTGTCATATTGACATTGTAATGTGGCCTGAAATTTCAAATGACAAGACCGAGTTCAATGTGCAGAATCACATACATACTCATGTGAATAAGAAGATGAACTCAAAAGATTGACTATCAAAACATGAAAATGGGTTGATTAATAACTTATCATAGACAAGCTATCCAGTCAGTACCCATTTGTTGCTGAGCTAAACAATGGCTTTAAGCCATAAAGGGATTTCTTGGCATGGCGACAGTAGTAAATGAACAATTTCATGTGTCATTGAACAAGAGATCATTTTGAGAATCTGATCACTTCAATTATGTTATGAGCAATCCGTTTATTGAGCACCTGTTCACCTCATATTTTCAACTTTTCCTAAACCATTTTTCTAATTTGTCCCTTGCTATTCACTCATTACATAAGAAACCAATACACCATCTAGCTGCTACAAAATTTTCAACTTTGCTAACTCACAAATCAAATTATGTAATGACAATTTAGGTCCATCCCTCTTGAACTTCCAATTATTAGCATAAGTGGATCAGAGAAAAGATAAGAACAATGATTTTTTTTAATTTCTCATATGTCAGTGATTCTCCATTACTACCCAGTGAAGCTTACCATGGACCATAACATCAGGTAAATTAACCATGTTAAACCTATATAACAATGACATGAAGTAAATCCAAGAATAACTTCACTGAAAATTGAACAGATGGAGCTCCACATTTAAACCACCAGAATTTGAGTATGAAAACTACTATTAATCATTTGTCATCACATCAATTCAGGCAAGTTACCCTTAAGTCTTCAGCTAGCCCTTCTAAGTCGGCATAATAGAAAAAGATAATTCATGGGCCAAAATAAAAAATAACTAACAGTACACTATCTCATTCAGTCCATTCATACAAATGATTTCCCATGAACTTCAAAACTAATACAATTTTATGACACATAGGGTAAACTAAACCAAATCAATGGAAGAAAAAATATCAGTAAGTGGAAATTTTGATAATAAAAAACAAGCAATGATATTCACCAAAGATGTCACATACTGATTTGGTACCAAAGGAGTCATGTTAACTTTTGGCCGCACAACATGCCCAATAGCAAAGATACCTCCTCCATTAACTCCATCCAAGCAGTGAGCAAACATATTTTTAACTTTTCCAGATGCAGCAAGCTGGGAAATCATTGATGAATTAGCTTTTCCAAAACCAAGAATTCCATCAAGTGCTTCTTCATTAGATGAGCCAAGATTCCCTGATTGTGTAGCACCACACCTATGAAAAAAGAATGCTAGAATAACCATAAATACCACCAAAAAGAAAAGAAAAACAGAACCAAACAGCAAATATGCACATACTTTATAAACACAAAATGTAAATTACATATGCAAAAGCAAACAATCGTTAATCCCAGGCATTTTTGAAACAAATGCAATCTCATGACATAATTCTGAAGAATCCTGAAAGGTATATGTAGTTCAAAGAAGATCTTATAAAACAAAATAATCGTGAAAATACATGAAGCATTAAAGAAATTGGGTTCAATTTTCAAAAACTTTTTTGACTTTTCAGGAATAATTTTCAAATGGCTAAATCTAGATGACCGTCAAGTTATGTTTTCTGGAAAGGAAAAATAAGAAGTGAATTTTAAAAAGTTAAAGAGATTTACTTGTAATGACATCAGCAGAAGTTACACATGCAAGTTAGAATATCTAGCAATATAGTGCCTACAATGTTACAAGTTCAAAATTTTAAAAGCTCACACAGTACCACATGTAACACAAGTATGAATTAGAGAATAGTAGGAGAAGGATTAACAACTCACCCAAATATAACACTTCCATTTGCAGATGAGGTCTCCAGATCGCCAGACACTAGATCATATAGCACAGTATCATTTACAAAGTATCCAGCAGTGGAACTCCCATCTCCATATATCTCAAGATATGGACAAGACATATTAGCTATACAACCGGCCAACAGACCTCCATTTATAGCATAACAAAAATCTTGATCACATGAAACCAACTTGCCAGAGGCAGAATCCTCAATATTGTACAAAGTAAGGTCTATCTGTAACCATAGAATATAAATAAAACAAAAAAAATCAAATATAATAAAAGATGCCGATATATCAAGATAATCTGTGGTAGATAGTTGTTACCCTAATAAGACATTGCTATATAGCAAAGTGAATATTTCAGACAAATTGAACATCAAAAGCAATTCATTGTTATTTTCAACTGTTACTTTTTAGGTTTGAATGCAAAATCAAATAACTAATTTCCAGCAATGGGTTTTAACCATTTGTTCATTTTCAATCATTTACTATAATTTTACTTCCAGCTCTTACTTTTTAGTCTATAAATAAGGGGTTTCTTTCTCTCATTTTCAAGAAACAAATTTAAAATGAGCAGAATATAATCAGTAAAAGTCACAACCAAAAAAGAAAGAATCCAACGAGGCCTTGGCTTAATGACAAGGAAGAAGCTTTGGGAAACTAGAGGTCTCAGGTTCAAATCCAGATTCATTTTGGTGAGTTAGTATGAATTGAGTTAGTTATTCAGTTCAATGCTTGTAATTATTGATTTCAATTGCAACTTTCAGTAAAGAAAGAAAAAAAAAAGGATGACTTACACCAAGAGAGCTTCTTTTGGGGCATTCTTCGCATTGAATACAATTAACCCACATTATATCACTTCCTGTATCTACTTGCAGATAGTAATGTTTTGAAGGTGTTCCTATCCCAATTCTAGCGTAATAAAGTCTACAAAATATTCAAAATTAAAAGGAAAAAATATCACAAACTTTAGCTGTTTTTAATCGAATTTCTGATAGCAAATTCAATGATTAAAAGAAGAGGGAAAATGGAACAGTTACCCAAGTCCGTTGGGCCGACCGGAACCGCCCAAGGGAAGATCAACGCCGGTGAGAATTCGAAGTTGACGAAGGCTATCGTGGACTTTTAAGTCAACGATTGAGCGTTGACTGCCGGCGAATTTGTACTTGACATGAATAACGCCGGAACTGAGAGCTCTGTTTATGGAAGAAGCTAAGAGAAAGCAAATTAGAAGCATAAGAAGTGAATAGTGAGAGTTAATCACACGAAGAATCATACTTCAAAAGCTTCAATTGAAATCGAAATCACTAAGTTTTTCTTCTCTCGATCGATCGATTGATTTTTTCTTTTATTTTAATCCAAAGCTTTTTTTTTATAGAGTAAAATACACCACAGGTCGTTTCGTTATTAGTAAGCTTACAAATGGGTTACTTTCAAAAAGTTACATAAGTGGCACCTAATTTATCGATTCATTATAATCAGATCACTCAATTGTAACTATAACTAAAAAATAGGATTAAGCAAAAAAGATTAATCAAAAATCGATCTGAATTATAGTTTTTGGACGATTTAATCCAAAAATTTAAAAATATGATAAAAATAATCATTTATATTTAAAAATAGTGAAATAACCTAAAATGCTATATACTAATTATTAATTGTTTTTATTTATATAAAAAACTTAAGAAATATTTATGAAAAAGACTTTAAAATTTACTTGAAAATTATAAAATAAAATTATTTTGTCAAAATAAAATATAAAATCTCAAGTTGATATGGAAAAAACAAAAACTATGGTTAACTTTAGGGGTGTTCATTCGGTTAAAATGGTGGCCGACCGAACCAAAATACCCTTAACCGAATTAACCGAACTTTTTTTCTTTAACCATTAACCGAATCAAACTTTTTTTTAAAGTATTAACCGAACCGAATAAATTTTGGTTAATTCAGTTAATTTTTGAATTAACCGAATTTTTTTAGAATTTTAGAAATTAATATTTTTTAATTAAAATAATAATAATTTACAATTAATTTAAATAATATCTAATTATAAATAATATCTAATTAATTTGATTCAAACATTTTGCATTTAGTATTGAGATTATTTTAATTAATATTGATTTGAGTTTTAAATGGATTGGGCCGGCTAAGTCTCTTAATATAATTATATTTAAAGGTTAATTCGGTTAATTAACGATTTCGAACCGAATTAATCGTTAACCGATTTCGAACCGAATTAATCGTTAACCGAATTCCAAAAAAAATCCTTAATTGTTCCCCGACCGAACTAATTTAGTTCGGTCGGTTAATTCGGTTAAAACCGAATTTTGAACACCCCTAGTTAACTTAATCAAAAATTGATTGACTACTAAAAAATTTAAAAATTCAAACTGGATTAAATCGTATACACTCCTATTAAAGAGTTAACTTCCATCACACAATAGAGTGGCTTTTTTGAATCAATCAATTAATTAAATGACCTATTTATAACTTTTCTAGATTCGATAACTCATTCATAATCTCACTATTAATTAACGACCTAATTATAACTTTTTAAAATTCATTGACTTGTTTATAATCTTATTAATAATTGAGTGACATGTATTAAAATTTAACCATTTCCATATTGGAAGTAAAATGGAAATTTGCTTTTAGAGGAAGAAAAAGGAAACAGAAAAGAGTAAGACTAGGAGGAACTGAGACGACATTGCATTTTTGGGAGATAAATGGGGCCCAGAAACTGATTCATTCTGATTTATAATCCAATCAAATTATCTAATTTATTATTTAATTAAATGACAATAATAAATAAATTCTGAGTATTTATTTATGTATATCCTTGTTTAAAAAGATAACACATACATACATCGTGATTTGAATCTGTAACTTAAATAAATTAATATTTGTTATTAAATCAAATAATATATTTTATAGGATACTAAATGTTATTTATAAACTATTTCGATAAAGTCGGGGATTTATTTATGTAGGTTTGTATGATGCACTCAAATTTTAAGGTTTAATAGCATTTTAGATTTTTATAAATTTAAATATCATTCAAAATAAGCTTTGATGTTAATTTAAGGTTTAAATGCTCAACAATCGTTCTTTTAAAAAATAGATAATGAGGTCCCTCTAAATATTGTATCATTAGTGTGTCTCAACCTTAAAACCGAACCTTAGTTCTTGTTGAGGTAGTAATAATATTCAATCAATTGAATTAACTCATATAAATAATCATTAGTTTAAGTACAGTTAATTTTTATTTAAGGATTTAAAAGATTATATATTGTTTAAGTATTATATTAAAAAAATGAGCACTTAAATCATACACGATATGTTAGATATTATTTATTTAAGATTGAGCAAAACAATCGAAAAAATTTGATATGAACCATACATTTTAAAACCATTTATGTTTCACTAGTTTAAGATTTATAATTATATGAACTAAATGTTATCTTTTATTTATTTATGATAGTTTTTCATCTTTTATAATGTAAAAATAAATATTTTATATTTAAATAAGAAAAATAAATTAAATTATCATATAAATTTATTAATTATTTTAAAAATATTTATGAAAAAACTTTGAAACTCTACATAATACCCAAAATCTATAAAATAGTCGTTTTGTCAAAATAAAGTATAAAATAAACCTATAATTAATATAAAAAAGTTGAGAATCGAACCGAACCGAACAACTATCTTAAGACGGTTAAAAAAAACCGGGAAAAAAACATGATGAACCCAACTAATACCCCTCGAACTCTACCAAAGGGTTGGGTTATCCACCTGATACAGTAGGAAACCGGAAACGATATCACATTAGAGTTCGAGTCACATGGGTTACCGGTCAGAGTTTGAGTCACACGGGTTATCAGACCGATCTGGTCGAAAACTAGTGACTATACCACAGTAGAGTTCGAGTCACACACGGGTTATCCATCTCACCCAATAAGAAACTAGACAACATTCACATCCGAGTCCGAGTAACGTACCAAGTAACAGAGTGAGATGAAATATCACTAGAAATAATGACTTTGATAGCAAGATATCAAGTTCTAAACATTTAGTAATACAATGTGAACAAATATGGCAGCCTGCTTCACTTTAAGCAGGTAAACTTTGTAATCGGAAAACTCAAAGACATAATTTAACCATATGATACAATCTTGTTCGGTAATAACATATCCCGGAGCACATGTATCCGTCCGGATAACATGAAGAAAAACGAATTAACTTACCACATTGAATCGGAAAACCACGAGAAGGGCTCATCTTGTACACCTTCTGAAAGAAGGAGATCTTAGCTGGAGCAGCAAGAAAAATTCCGGGTTTGCTTCGATGCATCGGTTTCTGTTTTAGTAAGGCTTACCCGATTGACGGTTAATTCGGCTTTGTAAGTATCTGAGTTCAGTACCTTCCTGCTGACGTTGTTGTAAATATCTCGTATGACAAGCTCAAATGCCTTCTTGACGTTCGTTGAATCTAAAGCAGATGTCTCCATGAAGAACAGATCTTCTTCTTCAGCTAGGGTTTTGCCTTCTTCGACGCTCACATCTCGGATGGTTTCAAGATCGCATTTGTTGGCAACCAACATCCTTGCCACCGTCGTATCACAATGAGCTGCACAAAAGGTTTTAAGTGAGCACAATCCTCACCATATATCGTGGTCATGGATAAAACCGGACAGAAATAATGAATGCAGCAAGGCTATAGGAGCACAAACCATAATTATGTTCAGTTTGGTATAGAAGTTGATTTGATTACAATTCGAGTAATAATCGAACATATTCTTTTCAAATTGTACAGAATTTGGTTTGGTTTCGGCTTGGTTAATGACTCAGTTCCTACTGAATTCCATTCGGTTTAGGTCCGGGTAACATTCGATTCTGTTTCTAATAGAATGCATCTACCACATTATTTTCAAAACCAAGCCATTGTTCCCTACCAGAAAATGGATCCCTAGCCAGCAAACTTTTCTCAATTTTATTTGGTTAAATTTTAAGGATAGTCCCTCCACTTATCATTTTGTGACGATCCTCGAAACTGGTCCTTCAAATTTTTGAATTGCTCATATTCAGTCCTATGTATAACTTTCTCTGCAAACTCCATTAAGAAATTAGAAACAATCACAGGTTTAACCATCAAACCTTTACATTTGTTATCAAATTGGACCCCACTCTTTCCTTTTGCTTTAATTAGCCCTCAACTTTTTATTTTTGCCAAATTAGACAAATTCAATCTAAGTTAAGAGAGAACATTATCCAAAAGACTGAAAATGAGCAATTTGAAAAGTAAAAGACCCATTGTGAGCAAATAAAAGTAGTGAGACTTAAATCCGCACAAATCGAAAAGTGCCGGGACTATCCTTAGAACTTAACCTATATTTAGGTAACACTTGATATTGTTATTTTCAGCTTTCTTCTTACTTAAGCCTTACATTACTATCATTTCAGCATCAGATCCAGTACTCCAAACCACAAGAATCAATGGAATCAGCACAATCAAAATAGAATCCTTAAAAAAAGACCCAAAAAAGGCGACAAATATCCATGGATCTTTACATAAAACTCTTTTCTTGAGCTAAATTCACCAAATCGAAAACAAAAATCAAAACCAACTCAAGATTACTAACAACTGACTGGCTGAGTCTTAGTTTGATTGATTAACAACTCACATTCTGGAGGCGTGAGTTAGAGCATGCTTAAGTGCGCAATTAACATCGATTTAGTTCAGGATAGTGTAAGCATTATATCCATTTAAAAGATTGTCAACAGCCGAGAACAACCATACGAAAATCGGATCCAACTCAAGATTATCAACAGCTGATTGATAGTCTTAGTACGATTAAAACACCTTACATTCTAGAGGCGATGAGCTCGAGCATGCTTAAGCGCACAATTGACTTCAATTTAGTTAAGGATAGTGTAGACATTGTATCAATTTAAAAGATTATCAACATCTAAGAATAACCACTAACATAAATCCTCCAATTCCACAGCAAAAAATACCATAAGAACTCTCAAAATTCCATATAAATTCAAAACCAAAACCCTAAACTAAGAAGAGGGTAGTTTAAAAGCTTACTCTTGAGTTCATCAAGCCAACGAGCGACACTATCGAATGTGGTTCTACGGCTGATGTCATAAACAATGAGAGCACCGACAGCGCCTCTGTAATAAGCCGAGGTGACGGCACGGAACCTTTCTTGACCGGCGGTGTCCCAAATCTGAGCCTTTACTTCTTTGCCGTCAATTCCCATGCTCTGGGTCTGAAACTCGACGCCGATGGTGGCTTTGGAATGCGGGTTGAATTCATTGCGAGCGTAGCGCGAAAGGAGATTGGATTTACCAACGGCTGAGTCTCCGATTATGACTATCTTGAAAAGGTACTCTTCGCCGCCTTCTTCGTCGGATTCCGACATGGATTCGGTTGTTTGTGCGGTGTTAGGTTTCTGGTTATTAAGACAAAAGGAAAAGGAAGAGAGAGAGAAGACAGGGGAATGGGATGTGGGGAAGGCTTTGTCTGAACCAAAGCTGGCAAAGAGGTACTGCGCATGAACTTGTTTATTAATTGATTTTCTTGCGATTATTAGTAGGGTAAACTAAGCTTTTAGTATCTCAACTATCACTTTTATTCCGTTTAATTATCTAATTATTATTTTTTTCAAAATAATATTTAATGTTATTTTGATTTCATTTTGGTAATTGTTGTTAAAAATTAACAGATTACTGATATGACATTTTTAAACTTTTACAATGATGATAGGACATTAACTTATGGTGACACATCAGTATCACTGTTAATTTTTAACGATAAGTGATTACAATAAAACAAAAACATAATATTAATATGATTTGAAATGAAAAATAGTTAAGTGACCAAAATAAAGAAAAATGATAATTAAGATACTAAACATATAGTTT